CAAATCTGTTCCCAGAGTGGCTCTGAATTTGCAAAGAACCGCAAATCTGAATGACCCCCTTAACGAGCTGATGGTGGATAGTTTTCTCATTACCAAGTTTTGGAGAGCATCAATCATCTCAAAAAGCAAAGCAGATAAAACAGTAAGTGCACTTGGGGGGAAAAGTCCAATTTATATTTCTCAGACATTACTAAATGACAGTGACTTGTGAGCGGATAACCCTTGGGTCCCTTGGCTGTGATTTATCTCCAGGTCACTTTCTTCTGTTAAACTTTGAACACTGAAACATTTCTCCTTTGTTGTCATCATGAGGGGGAATGGTTTTATTCAGCAGCCTTTCATGGGAAAGCCATTTTGTTTTCCCCTTTTCTTTTCTATATTAGGAGATCCCTCCCACCCAGCCTCCCTTACTGTGGAGCTGCAATGGCCAATCCGAAGCATTCTGAAGGAGAGCCAAGACAGGGACGAATTCCTTAGAAGAGCACAATAGAAGGGAGAATCTTTGTCCCTTCTTCGGTCCAATTAAACTCCTACAATAATTGCAGACGAATGTTGAGAAAGGTAGCATTTAGGGCAGAAAATTTGAGGCCATATTGTGACTTCTTCCATGGTATAAATATACCTTCTTTTGATCTCTAGTAAATGGTCTGACACAGTCTATTTCTCTGCTAGAACACTCCATAGTAGAAAGGTCCCACATGTTATGGGGGCTACCTGTTCCTATAATGATAATATCCTCCTTCTAAGTTGCATAGCAGGGAGGCTAAAAGCAAGATTTTGCCGGAAGACTGCCTACACTCAAACCTGCCTTCATCCATTGGCCCCGTAGAGTCATTCTTCACCCTCCTCCATCCTCTGTTTCTCAGGGAGGTTGAACTGAAAGGACTGCATGTGAATTGTTTCAGCGGCCTCTCCTGCCCTCCAGCTTCCATTCGGCTTTGGCCAGTATAGAGCCCTGGAGAGGAAAGAAGGACTGGAGGGAGGTGGGGATTGGGTTGTTAATTTCCAGGTTCCCTTCCAGCAGGCAGCTAAGGCCACAAAGGTCTCAGCTCCTGTCACGTGGCTTTCTGGATAGAGAACTCTCCTCTGGGTCCTGGTACCCTCCTTTTCGCTTAGGATGGGCAATTGTTCCCTACTGTTAGTAGCCCAGGGAGTCTGCACTGTCCCTTAGAGTTTCTCTACTCCCTCCCATACCCTCCTAAATGACTCCTTTATTAAACTTACCACAATTTACTTAATTTAAATATGCCATCTTTTTAAGCTAAAAAGTACAACAAATGCAACCACCTAAAAGACAAATACAACAACTGACTGTCTAACCTTGGGCAAATCCCTTAATTCCTCTTGGCCTCAATTTTCTCCTCTGTAATTTAATAATATTTTCTGCAGAAGATCATCTTAAGAATGAAACAAGGTACAATATATAAGGTGCAATACATTATGCACATAGGAATTACTAAGGAAATACTAAGATCATGCGACTACCACGAAGTTCTAGCTCACACACTACCTTAACTCAACTATAGTAACTCACTTCTGGGAACTTGGGTTAGGTTTTCAGTCAAGAATCAATAGAGCAAGAAAGAAAGAAAAAACACTTATGATCAAAATTCATTAATAAAATCCTTTACCTATCAGACTATGATACAGTTGATTTTCTCATATTCAGTCCTGCAGAGTAGTCCTTATTGACTCTGAAGTTTGAGAACCCATGAACTAGACTTAAGAAAGGTAAAACCATATGCAAATGTCAGTCGTCTGCTTTTGCCATGACTATGGGGTCCCTAAAGGAGACTGAGCAATGCCAGCAAGTTCCAAAGTGTTCCTGCAGCTTGTGGGGTTGGCCTTGTTCTGTTCTTCTTCCAAGGTTCTATTAACTTACTGCCAGATAGGAGACTTGTAGTTTGCTCTAAAGACTAACAGGAAACCTTTGGGATCACAAGGTAGGTGGGGATGCTAGGTTTTCAAGGCAGCTTAGCTGTAAATTACATTGGGTGAATGCTGCTGTTCCCACGTGTCTAGGATGGTTGTCTAATGAGCTGAAAAAGATGTAAGCATTTTTCACACATCCCATGTAAACCTCATGACAACCCTGATAGTGGTCATTATTACCTTCTCCAGTTTGGGGATGAGGAAGCTAAGATCTTGTGCCCAGAATACGGTAACACAGATTCTAATACTTGGCAGGGATAGTATTTAACACAGGACTGTCTGATCCAGAGCTGAGTTTTTATTCAGCACCATTGCATGCTGTACAGTGGCTTACCATCAATGCTCTGTGTATGCACAATGTAAGTAGAAAACTCTGTGTTTTTATAGCTGCTGACATTGGTTGCCTAGAATAACATACAAGTGTTTGTTTGCCTGAAAGTTTTTCATTCCCTGTATTTAAAGGCAAGAGGATCAGCTCTGCATCATATCTACCCTAGCAATTTCTTTCCAAAGGCTAAATGTACCATGCTGCAACTACTTCTTGGGGCCCTATTTCTAGACTCTTCTCTATGTTGTTGAACTACTTCTAGTCCAGTGCTTTCCAACTCTGCCTGTACAGTGGACTCAACCACCTGGGGAAGTCTTTAAAAAATACCCAAGTCAGTCCTCTAACCCCACAAGATGGATGGACCAGAAGTCTCTGAAAGGTGGTTTGAGTATTGTTATTTTCTAAAAGGCTCTCTTAGAACGTTTTAATGGAAAGCCAGTGTTGAAAATAACTGCTCCAGTTTGTTAAAAAATAATTGGTGTGAATATTGGCAAAAACCCTCTGGCATGAAGAAAGAGAACCAGTTTCTTCTAGCTAATGTTTGTTAGCCAGAATTATCTGTGGCATAGTCCATGTGACTTAACAGACCTAGTCTTCCAGGGCAGCTGAGCGCAAATATTTCTCAAGCATAGAATGGGATGTCAGGGCTTACAGAGAAAATGGCAAACAGGAATGACTCCCATCTAATTTGGCCATGCTGGATGATTCAGCTGGATTCTCTCATGTCCTGAGCATTGAAAACACAATGAAGAGTATTTAAATTGGATGTTTAAAGAAGTGAAAACAACTCTCCCTTTTTCTGTTTCCTTCTACCTTGTGTTTAAGCTCCACCAGGTGCCTTGCTCTTGGCAGTGAGTGTGAATGAATGGTGCCGTGCAGCTCCTGAAGCCTGTGTACAGAGATGAAGGGATTGTGATGGAGTAGTTCATTCATGCTCATGTTAAAGGGGCTGCTAACAGCAGAGTGGTGCCACTAGGATTATTAATATCTAGATCTGGGAGAGAGTCCTCTTTTCCAGTTGCCACCTCAGCAAAAAGGGAAATAAAATCCCTAAACTGTAAAGTTAGAATACGAGACTGTAAAGTTTGTATATGTGACAACTTCAGATTTAAAGTCACACACTCTTGACAGGGCTTAAGGGGAGAGACTGTCAAGCATTATACCAAAGTGAAAGAAGGTCGCCTTTCATCTACAAATTATTTTTTAAAACACATTTACCAGGTTAAACGATACTTTTTTTTTTGGAAGAGAAGAGTACCCAAAGTCAAATGCCCTAAGATGAAGAGATGCTTATGAGATTTTTTGTTTTGTTTAAATAAAGAAAATGCAAAGTTAGAATGGTTCCAAAAGAATCAGGAACCACTAGAATCCTGTGTAGTGGTGCAGACAGGATTGAAAGAGAAGAGGGAAGGGGAGAGATGGAGAAAGGCATGGATGGAGGAAGATGTTTGGATTCAGATTTTGGAAAGGAGTGCAAAGGAAGGAGGTGAGCAGAGATTTATTTTTTAAATTCTATTATGTGTTTTTCCCTCTTTTGCTTGTTTTTTTTCTCCTCTGTCTATTCATACTTGGATATTTTGCCCAATGAACTATCTTCTAAGGACCCTTAGAATGCACTGAACATTTCTGGAGGGTTTTCTGGGTGCCAAACACCAGGTTAGTAGCTTTACCTATCTTCTCTATTTCATTCAGTTCTCTTAGCACAGAGAAGTGGGAGACTTTTAGTCCCATTTTACAGATGGGATGAAGAAAGATATGGAGGAATTTGCCCCAGGTTACGCTGCTAGAAGGTGGTGAAGAACTCAAGCCTTAGGCGATCATCACCTGGCATTTTAACTATCAATCGGTCCTCCTGGGACCCCCGCTCCTCTGGCACCATCCCCGGGGACCTGCTCTGAGAGTTTGCACGTGGCCTGCCGCATTCCATCGTCTAACAAGGTCCAGCACAGCGCAAATCCGAAGAGCGCTTACCCCGAGGGAAAAAAAAAAGAGAGTCTGTTTAATTCTCACTGCGGCCCTCTAAGTGAGCTCTTTTGGGTCCCATTGTCTAGATGAGGAAAGTGAGGCTTTGCCTGCTCTGTGGTCACAGGGTCGGCAGGTAGTGGGGCCCTAGGTTCCTGCTGTGCTCCAGAAATAAAGCTGCAAGGGTCTCGTCATTTTTATGCAAAACCGTCCAGGAGGCTCGAACTCTCCCTAGCACAAGCCCATCTGTCTCCGCGAGCCGCCCCCGAGACTCGGAAGCAAGCGGCAAGCAGCGCCTAGTGGGTGGAGAAGCGTTCCCCGCCACTCACCTCCGCCAACTCTGCGGCTTCTCAGCCCGCACCCCCGCGAGGCCGACCTCTCTCGGCCTAAAAAACAAACAAACAAAACAAAACAAAACAAAAAAAACCGGTCCCCCTCTGCACCCCTCCCGCCGCCCCCAGGGAGCTGCATTAATATTAATCTCGCTGAATAATTGAAGGCTGGAGATTTATTCGGGCTTCGGCGGGGGAGGGCGCGCAGCTGGGCCGCGTTTAGGCTGCACCACCAGCGTGTTTCAGCTGCTCCATTCCGCGGGGCCTGGGACCCCCAGTCGTGGGAGGATGGGGTGGGTGTGCCTGCCTGTGCGCTTGGGGGTGAGTGGGAGTTGAAGCAGGTGATCCGGGGAGTGAGGAGGGAGCGCCAGGGACTGCTCCAGGGAGGCGGAGACGGAGGGGCATCCCGGGTCTCTGCGCCGTCGCCTGCGCTTCACCCCGCACGGGGTGACCCGGGGCCACGCGGGCTTCAGGGGAAACAATAGCGACTCCTTAGATCCTGGGCTCCTGCCACCGGCTGCCCAAGCCTTCCCGGACGAGCGGCGGGGCCTCTTTTCTTATTTGGCTAATTTATGGCGAGAGGCTGGGGGGAGGGATGGCAGAGGAGGGACCGCGTCTGGAGATGGGGGCGGGGGGCGGCGGTTAAAGGAGTTGCCCGAGGCGGCGGCGCGGGTGATGTCAGCTCTCGACGAAAATAGAGAGGGATCGCCTGCAAATCCCCAGCTCCGGCGGGGCTAAACCTCGCAATCCCTCCCCGGCCGGCGCCGAGCCAGGGCGCAGCAGCCTCCACCGCCTCCCCCGGCGCGCACACACACCCGCACACGCGCACGCACGCTCACCGGCCTCTGCCACCACTCTCTGCTCCCGCCACTCGCTGCGCCCGCGAGCCCCGCAGCAAAGCACAGGTGGCAGCGGCTCAGGGGCGCCTCGCCGGTGTGCGCCCTCCTGCAGCCCTGGGCGCTTCGCTCTTTCGGGGAAGCAGCCCTCGGAGCCTCCAGAGCTCCCTGCTAAGCGCCATTCCCGCGGGCGGAGGGGAGCGCGGGTCGCGCGCCGTGGAGAGCCGGGACGCGGATTAGCGCCCGCGGGAGCCTCCTGCGCCGGTTGAGGCGCTAAAGGGCTTACCCCGGCGGCGGGTGGAAGGGCGGGCAGAGGCGCCCCTTAAATACCGTTCCTGGCCGCAATTTCGCGCTCACCCCGGCGCCGGCTCTCTACATCTCCTGCAGCTGCCGGATAGTGCTGAAGAGGAGGGGGCGTTCCCCAGACCATGGCATCCACGGAAGGGTGAGGGGGTTTTTCTCTGCACCCGCGGGAAAGCGGGGCCGCGCGCGGGGTGGTGGCGCTCCTATCCGGGATGGGGACAGAGAGGCGTCGGCGGCTAGCCACGGAGGTGGTGGCTGAGCAGTGGCTTCGGTGGGGGTGCGACGGTGAGGAGGGGATTGATTTTCTTTCTTGGAGACTGCTGCTTAATCCTTTGAAAATGCGAGAGGCAGAGGGTGGTTTTATTACGGTTAAAAGGGTAAGGTGCGCCGGGGGCGTGAGAATGTGAGGAAGAAATCCTCTTGAGGTTACTTTTGAGATTTCAAAACAATAAGGGATTGGGCCCAGTGTGAGCGGATACCGGGGTAGCAGCGCCTCCAGCGCGGCGCCCCAGACCCGACGCCAACTGACTGGTGGGGCCGGCCGGGAATGAATGAGCCAGGACCGGGCCCTGGGGCGGGGCGAAGATCAGCGCGCGCGGCGTTGAAGTCCGGGTTTACAGGGTCGTCCTGGAGATGCTGGGTCCGCTCCGATCGCGCTCCTTGTCCCTGGAAGGCGGAATCTCCCTGGCTAGCTCTAAGGAAGGGTGGAAGAGATTTGGGTGCTTCCCAGGAGGAGGCGGGAAAACGTGGTTTTGGACAAGGGCAGGAGTCGCCAGACTCCAGCGGGCAGGAATAGCACTGGCTTCCCTATTCAGCCCGAGGGCCTGGAGTCCTGTCCTGCCTCTGGAGACTGACGTTGGCATGGGGAAAGCTCCCTCGCGGTGACAACTAAGGATTACTGTCTTGAGCAAGAGACAGAGGGGGCTGCAGGGGGCAAAAGGATTCTTTGAATACGCACACATCAAAGGAAAGGTCCATGAACACAGTCCTTGGACCAGTATCTCCCAGAAAACTTCTTGGGTTTTGTAGAACCTGAGTGGCCATGAAAAGACTGGGTAGCTCAACTCTTTGGCTAATTCTCAAAATTGCAGTTGGTCACTTGCAAGAGATCACAGGATCCATGTTATGTGAAAAGCAAATATCAGGGGCTTCTCTGGGCTCCAGTGGCAGTGGTGGCATTTTCCAGTTTCTCCTAAGAAATTTTACCAACTCTGCAGGCTTGTTTCAAGGGGAATGGATCTCTAAGCAGGCGTGAAGAGCTGGTATCCAAAGCCAGATCTCTAGACCGCAACCTCCAATAGAAGGAAAATACTTCTAAAACTGTCTCTGTGTGTCCAGGAGAAGGAGCTTATTCCTTTTCTGTCCCCCAGAGTCCTTCCAAACATCTGGCATCTTGTCACTCCATAAAATTTCTTCTCTGTCTTTGCCCTCACCGTTTTGCAGTGTGGACTTTTTGAGTATTATTTCTCCAAAAAGATGTTTCAGGAAGACACCTGTGTACAAGGAAGGTGGTACCTTGTGCTAAAACAGGTCTCTAGAAATAGATACGATGAGCCCATATGGATCAAGATCAGTACCTTCCCATGTTTAATTTAAAAGGCTTCTATATTAGAAAAGATATGAAAGCATTTCTGGTTGCCTTCAGGGACCTTCTAGACTTATCCTTGCTTGTAAAGGCAAGGGTGGAAAACATCTGTGGAAAAGATGGATGATGTTAGTCTTTCAAATCCTGCATCCAACTCACTCCCTATTTTGATGGGCAGATAGAGTAGGAGATGTTAAGACAACCCCAAACTGAGTATGTTTAGTTCACTTTTGTTCTAAATGAAAGCTGCCAAATGATTCGACCTTAAATATAGAGCCAAAGTGATTTTCAGCATTTTAGAAAGATTCCCATCCAATTAATCCCATCTTTTGTACTGTGTATGATTAAGAAAAGATTCCTCAAAGGAACTTGTATTTAAGAGATGAAAGAATTGAAAAAAGGTGAATAGCTGGGAAACAAATATAGGAAGATCTATGATCCATTGTTGTTTAACAGCAGTAATTGATGAGCAGGTGACATTCTCAGAAGCCCTGGTCTTTCCTTTCTTCTTCTCTTCTTTTCTTCCAGGAGCATTTACTGAGCACTTGTTGGGTGGAACTCACATGTGAGGAAGCTCTGAGTCGGGGGGATACAGAAACAGAAACAGTCTGGGATCTGCCTTTTAGAAGTCTAGCTCCGTCCAGTCAAGAATTTGTATTAGTAAATTGTTCATGTGGATTCGTGAGATCTCTTGCCCTTTCTAACATCTTTGGTTAATGTGCCGTGTAAAGGAAAATTTACTAAGACTCTTCAGGCTGTCTCCTTTGTTAGCTTTTGCCCTTTAACAGTATTGAAATTGTTTCCTTGAAACATACTTTACTTGGAAGCAAAAATAGCAATATAGTTATATGCTTTCAATTTACGTGTTTTCAAGTTCAACTCTGTTTGATCCAGAATGTTTGGGAGATAGGATAATACGGGAGACTCACCGTTATGGTTCACATTTATTTGGTGATGTCATTAGCAGCAGCAGGACATGTTAATTACCAATTTCTAAAGAATTATTAGAAGCAATAGTGACATCTTATGTTTATTTAACACTCCACTTTCAAACCTCATTTGTGTACCTCATCACATTTGATTCTTCCAATAACTCTGTGAAGTAGGCAGTCCAATAAGAATAGACTTTAAGGATAAAATTATATAGAGAGACTATGACACCATCTTTCCAGAAAGATTTCAGGACTTGACAATGCTTTGGGGTTATCATCTGAAAATGATGTGTGCTGGGCATGGCTGACAGAGATTACCGGCTTTTTCTAACTTTTGGCGTACCTATCCTGCAAATTGCCTTTTAGGGTATTCTCTTTGTAATCTGTGAACTTGGTCTTTGCTTGTGCAGAGGACTAGGAAAACACATTCTGGTTATTTGAGAGCTTTAATTATTTGGAATTGAGATTATGAGCATCTGGTTTCTGTAATAATCAATAGTGAACTCTTCAGTAGTTCCCAGGCCCTGAAAGGTATTTTCCTGCAAAGCAAGGTCTAATTTGATAGTTGAGCATTCTTTTTTTCTGAGTCCCCTGCCATGGCTAGAATTACAGAGATGGATTTTAGGGCCCTGACCCAAACTGGAAAAAGATTATAAGTAGTTGGTGGCAGACGGGCTAGAAGTGTCCATTACTGACTGGGTCACAGTGAAGTGCCCAGATGCTGAAGAGGCAGGCATTTTAGAGATATTGTCTTGGAGGTTGGGGTGGCTAGGTCACTCTGTATGTCAGAGACCCAAGGCAATCCGTCCTTGGATCAGCTCCCAGGAGCCAAGGGGTCAGGGCAAAAGCCAACCATGAGGGCCTATGCTTCAGTTTGACTTAAAGAGCAAGGGAAACAGAGAACTGCTGACACTGGGAAAACCCTGGCAAGGGAGACCCTCTGAATTTATTGTTTCAAGCAAATAAAAGCAAACCATAACCATTGCCTCCTTCCTTCTCCCCTTGGGAATGAATTTGAGGTCAGCTGGAGGAAGAGCCCACAGAGCGAACTTATTGGAAAGTGAGTGGAGGATATGAGGCCTGTGGTCTAGAGGGGTTTGCAGGTTGCATGCCTCAGGCTTGGCTGAAATTTTCCTTTCTCATTTTCTCATTTTCAATAATATAGAAATCAGCCTCCTTGGGTAAGATAGATATTAGTAGAGCTATGAGAAAACCATTTCATGTTTACTAAGACAGTCTCTTGTGAGTAATTGAAAGCTTAATTCTCAGGAAATAATTTCTAAATCCAGATGAAACATGTTATTAAAAGCCAAAAGACAGGTCTGTTCATCAGTATCAATGGCCACTTCTTTTCCTCTTCCATGCAACACAATTAGGTGCTGTGTGTCTCCTTTGGCTTTGGCTTTAAGGGATGTGTCAGACAAGGAGAAGTCCTTCAGCGATGATGCTTCAGCTGCAAAAAACGAGCAATATATTTAACAGCTAAGTGTGAGATTTCTGGGTCAGTGTGCCATAAATCCTACAGTTCCAGAATTGCAAAGCTTTTTCATAATTTGAAGCGCAACACAGAATGATTTCAATGTAAATCCTCCCCTCCCTGCCCTCCTCCGTGGCTGTGTCACACAATACCCTGATTTCTGGTTTCCCCTGTTTTAAAGGCAAACCAAGTAGTTTCTCATACTAAATTTTTCCACCATTGGACTGGTTTGCCTCTTGGAATGAGCTGAATCTAGTATTCATTTCAATCGCTTGCTACAATTATTTTAATCTGATAAAACATTGATAGTACTAAATCTTCTAGCAGTAGTAAGCAGAGGCATCATTCTCAAAATAAAATGTTAGCTTTGTTTGCATTTGAAAAACTTGTCCTTGCAGTCTGAAAAAAACATCTGACAAACACCAGACATTGCCTTGCTTGCAGCTTTTGATTTCATGCCCTTAACAGCTTGTTGGGGGGCAGGCAGGATGCTTCATAGAAAGGGTTTTAGAATCCAGATTATGGCAAATCTCTTTATTTATCAGAATCGTGAGCTTGCTCTCTCTTCCCTCTGCCCGCCCCTCACCCCGCAACTCTCTAAGGGCCAACTCCTTGCAATGAATTAATTAAAGGAATGTTTAAAAATATCTCATTGCTCTATCTCCACGTGCTCCATCATTGATTGGAAGCAGATGGGCGCATATTTGTCGGTAGAATAAAAAAGGACTAGCATCTCTTTATAAATCTGTCTAGTTGGTCTTAAATGATGTCAGAAAAGACAATGGGCCCACAGTATTAAAGGAGAATGAAAGAAAGGAAAGTCTTTAAAATTTTAAAGAGCAGGCCTCATTTTCTTAGTGCTTTAGTTTTTCTTTTTAAAAAAAATTGTTGTTTCTCAGTGATGTTGATATTTATTTTTCATTCATTTATTTAATGTCTCACTTAGACAAGCAGATATGACTGTTGTTTGCTGAACTGCCGTCTGGTGTATTTGGCAATCTCGTCAGTTGCTTTAGAGTGTGGACTCATTGAGCAAGGACTGTCCTTTGAAAATGGATGAAGGGAGTGAACTCGATTTGGCGGCTGGACTTGATCTGTGTCAATCCTGGTCTCTAGGATAGATGCCGGCGATGTTAAAGACCTTGAAT